ATATTTAATATATGAGTGTGACTCGTGTGCGTGTGCTGAATTGTTTTCTAATTCTTAAGTCTGATAGTTAATTGATGAAAAAGTGTTATTTAATAATTAAGTAAATGTTAAACGGCATAACTTGTCCCTCCTTTTAACTTCTTTATCCATATTTTTTTGATATATTCCTCTACCACTACATAAATTTTTGAGCTTGATGAATTTGTATGTATTTCACCAATGCAAGCAAACTTTAGTAGAGCTGGCTGTAGACGATGTTTAACTCTTCGTTATTCAAATAGTTCTGGGTTATATATCCAATCACAAACTTTGCAGTTAATGAAGGAACATAGATGTGTAAAGAATTTTGAAGCATTGTGTTGGTACCTACCGAATTTTTTGTGAATAGTCGTATGAATCAAGAAATAAAGAGGTTTACCTACTATGTAAATAAATGGATATAAAATCGTATCTTATCGTCTCATAATAAAAAGAAAACAAAAATGAAAGAACTTGATCGTTATTTTGAGGGAATTTGGATGGGAAATGCCTGAAGAAAATTTGTATATCAGATAAATAGGCATGAATTAATACTAACACCAAATGTATTTTTTTAAGTCGTATCATAATAGAAATGCTTTATTAAAATTAGTAATTTTTATTGGCATATGCAAAGTTTATTAATTACTATTAGAGAACGATTTCCGAAGTGGAAATTGAAACGTCAATAAACGTATTTTTATCTTTAATTGTGGCTTATTCCCAGTTTAATACTAATTAATTTACAATGCCACAAGAAAATAGCTTCAGAACAATATATGCAAAGTTATTATCTAAAAACTCATAAAACCCAAAAAATGCTTCAGATTTGTTAAAAATTACAAAAATTTTCAATAATTGGCCTAAAAATTAATTTGAACTATATATTGTTTGTTAGAATTCAGAAAGATGTTTGATTTCGAGGGTTGAGAATCGTTTTGGAGCCAGTTTTAATATTCAAACTGTTAAAAAAATTATAGTATCGATTGTCGTGGTCATTGAAGTAGAAATTGTTACGAACAAAACCTAGTTCAGAAATAACTGTTTTAAGAAAATTACATAATAAATATATAAATATTATATATAGTAGTGCATTTGTAATGGGGTAGTTTATATTAAATATTAGCTTCAATTTAAGATGTTTATTAGTTGATAAAATACTTACAAAAACAATGTACCTATCACATCTCTAAACTGAGAAAATATAACACATTAAAAATTACTTGTCTCTTTCTTTTACCCGTATCTTTAGACTCATTTACACTAAAATACTATATACGTATTTCATTTTTTTATTTCGTTGATTCAAGTTCATTAGACGTTTTTGTAATCCAAGCTTCCAACATTTTTTACAAGTTCAGTCTTTGGTAGTTTATTCTTCCACACAATGTACACCTTAAATTTTTGATTGTGTATTTATATACAAGCTGGGCGAAGTGGTTCAAAAGCTCGCAAGTTAGACAGGCTATTTTTTCAATGATCTGAATCACCTTCAGCTTTTCAATGATCTCAAGACCTCTTCGCATCTCTGGGTAATGTGCAATCTAAAATCCAGGCGGGGATCAAGATCACTCAAGGGAAAAAAATTGGGTCAGCCATTCATGGAAGAGAGAGTACAGTCTATTCTCTGGAGACCCTATGGTGTGTTGTAGAGTTTGAATGGTTTTTGGGGTTGGTAAACAGACTTTCACGTATTCCAATTGCCTAGTCGTGATTCAACCTTTGTTACTGTTAATATTTTAGTATTTATTCTGATATACTTATTTTTGCTCTAGCCCTACAATCCGCTGTATGTTTTCTGTTATTGACGATTCATCTCTAATTCCGAACTCCTGTAATCCTTGGATTATTCTCGACACTCTCTTACCAACGGTTTCTAGTACGGCCTTCATTAGGGGATATATTTTTTTTTTGTATTTATTTAATTGCTAATTCGGAGCAACTCTCCAAGCCAACGAATTCTATGAGATTTAACAAACTTTATAATATCGGCATGTTTAATTAACTCAATGAGTCGAAAGTTCATGCGGTATTTGTAGCCTCCTGGACACTTTCCTTTTAAATATTTCAGGGCATCTTCTCCTTCTTCAGCTGGGTCCATGTTTCACAACCATGTAACAAGATCTTCTTAGTACATTGTACAATTTCATCTTTAAATTGTCCCCTATTATTTTAGAAGTTAGCAGTTTAAATTCCCCCTATTATTTTAGAAGTTAGCAGAACCTTGTTATAAGGTTCCCGTGCATGTCAACTGTAGATATTGCTAAAACAAGAGCGTTGAGAGGGCGTCCCCTTCTCTTACACTATTTTCTTTTGTCTCTATCCTTCCATTGTTGGATATAGGTCTCCCCCAGTTCTCTCCATCTTTCCCTATCTTGAGCTGTTCTCTGCCATGTAGGACCTCCTTGTTTCCTGATGTCATCTTTCCACCTCATTTGATCTCTTTGCATTGTATGGACGCCACTTTCCGATGGCATTGTTCCATCGTCCGTCTTGGAGACGTTCTTTGTGTCCAGCCCATTTACATTTCAGTTTTGCTGCTTGTTCTATTGCGTCTACTGTCTTTGTTCTGGTTCTGATCCACTGGTTACGTTTTCTATCTCTAAGTGATACACCCAACATTTGTCTCTCCATCGCTCTTTGTGCCTTCCTTATCCTATCCAAATTGGCCTGTGTAAATGTCCATGTCTGTGCTCCGTAGGTGAGCACCGGTATTATGCAGGACTTACATACCTTGCTTCGTAAGTATAGAGGGATTGTTTGATTTTTTAAAACGTAAGAAAGTTTGCCGAACGCTGCCCATCTCATTCTTACTCGTCTCGATGTTTCGGCTGTTTGATTATCTCTGTTAGCTCTGATTGCTTGTCCTAGATAGATATACTCGTTTACCTGTTCTATTTTTTCTGTTTTTATTTTTATTGCCTCTTGGTCTTTCGTGTTTGTCATTACTTTTGTTTTGTTGAAGTTAATTTTTAGGCCTTTTTGCAGTGATTTTTCATGAAGTTCATTCAGCATTAATTCCAGTTCTTGTCGTTCCGAGGAGATCAGGAGTATATCATCCGCATATCTTACACTATTATTGATGTCAAAATTGTCAGCCTCCATATTTTGTAATACTACAGCTGCTTTGGTGGTAACATATACTTATAATTTCGTACCAATATAACTTCGTACGTTGCTAAAACGAGAAAAAGATTTTGTTTCATTCAGAGCTTACCACAAGTTCGCTCTGAGGAGTGGAAATACGCATAAGCAAATGGTGGTGCTCTGGATTGAAAATAAATCTTAAACTGCCTTTCGTATTTATAATTTCATCGGAAGGTTGTTGAATTTCTCTCACGGCTGGTAGGCTACAGCTTGCTTAGTTCTAGATCTCCGCTGCGTACTTAGTAATACTTTTCGAAATGTTCGTAATTATGGTCTTTAGTAAATCGTTTCTAATCCTGTATCTGTCTTTTTCGTCAGTTTCATTTTTGCTTATTAATTTTTCAGATTTTTGGTTCTGAACGGGGTTTTTCTTTTGTGAAACATCAATTATCATGTTATTTCTCACACTCCCAGTTCTCTTCTGCGTAGTGTTTGAAATATATTACCTGTATGTCTAATTTGAAATTCAATTCGTCTTTCACATTTATTTTTTCATTATTAAGGACCCGAAAAATCATTGGTATGGTAGATCTTGAAGGGCCTAGAATTTTGAAGTTTATTACATAAGTTCCACTTGAAGCTAGGAATAGCCTTATTGAATGATGGTCAACAGATCAAAGAATATAAAGTTACTTATATCATTATCTTGCCTATATATCAAAATTTAGTCGTTTGTCTTATCTAGCGATGTCGCATACTTCGTTTTTCCTAGTTTTTTCATTTGAAACTCTGTTTCCAAAGTCCTCGTCAGGGTGAATAGTAACCTGCTTCAGAACTATTCTTGTCAGCTGCAGTTTAGATACTATATATGAAATGAGTTATTAAGGACTTCTTAAACTGAACACATAACTCGTAGTATCACTATTACCTTTCAATGAGCATTTCGCGATGATTCGTGTGAGTGATCATTTAGTATTTTTTACACCCTGACCTTACGAGATCCATGCTATTTTTGTTAATTTAAGCTTACTCCCGTTCACTATTTAACGACTGCTACTCACAATTATATAGGAATAGTTCTTTTATTCGATTTAAATCGTAAATACGGACTGGATATGGGTTATGTCCGTTTTTTTTTCAATTGACAAGAGAACTATTTTATTTTAATTTTGTGTTATTTGCATCTTTTGCGACCATTTGGTATATTTTAAAAAATAATTGATTGGTTTCCTCTAGTCAAATTGTTTCTTCAACCTTGTGTTCAACATTCTACTCAGCCGACCTAATGCCAGTAAGTATACTAACATAGGTTAGCAAGTAATATAGATATAAGTATATAAGTAATGTTGGATACCCGTGTAGTCTATTTTGTTTTAATGTAGTCATAGATAATGTCTTCCAATCTATAACGTAGTTTCTTTATAAAGACTACAAATAATAGGAAAAAAATGTTCTATGGTGACAACACGAGAACTTCCAGCTAAACTTAGGACCAAAAAGAAATTAGTGCTAGTGTGCTATATAGCATGATTTATTTTCTTTCTGATCAAATGTTAATTAAAAAATGTGGAATTCATATACTATTTTATGAATAAAAACTTAGCAAGTTACCTATTACTCAGATGTGTACTTCCAGTACTTGATCCATTCAAACTGTTTACCATTTTAAAAGGTTTTTGTTCCACAATACCTAACATTTGTTCCTTAATCAATTCTTAGACACGATTTTGATGTTTCTTAGTTATTTCTTCTCTAGATGTTTATGCTAGCGCTTTTATGTTGAAAATTCATTAAAATTTAAGTTTAAAAATTACATAGGTACTTTTTAGTAGTACTTTAATTTCCTTTGATTACTCTATTCGTGTACTAACCAAAATCTTACTTTTCTCTTTTAGGAAACCACTCAGCAGCCGCAGGAGACTATGTTAATGGACCTCAACGCGGCACCAGCACGTACGGGACATTCCAGTCCTACCACCCGTACAGACGTTAAATGCAAACGTTACCAATTAGTTTTTGTTGTTTCCGTTGCTTCTGCACGCAAACCAATTTCCAGATACGAAGTTCGTTGACTAGGATTTATTAATTTGTAGCTTAAGTAAGAATATATGTATGTTTACCCAAACATTATCTAATGTGACTAATATTAAGCATTATGAACATTATATTTGCATACTTTGAAATAAAATTAAGACCTGTTGAAAAAACTTTCCGTGGAATGGCTCGAATCAGTAGAGATATTGCTCCTCGGTCATTGGTTTTTATTATAGACTGATTAACGACCAAATCTTAAGAGGTTACATAGGTCTTTTTCAAAAATCGATGTTTTAATTCTATATGAAAGTATAGTACTTCAAGAGTATTCACACCAAATTTGAAATAAATTCGAGTAATATTACCGGAGTTACAGAGATTTGAATACCGCGCGATCGATACGTGCGCTTCCAGTTTAAAAACTTCAAGTACATTTTCTCGAAACTTTGTTTTTTGTAGGCACGATTTCTCGAGAACGAATCAACTGATTTTGCTGGCTGAAACTTTGCCCAGTTCATCTTTATAGTATTGTTTTGTAATCGAACGAAGAAACTGAAAAAAATAATGTTGCTTCTCGGAAAATCATGACTATCGCACGCAAAACAACAGTTTCGAGAAAAACACGTTTAAAGTTTTTAAACTAAGAATGCACGTACCGACCGCACGTAATTCAAATCTTGATAACTTTGGTAATATTGCTCTAATTTACTTCAAATTGGGTGTGGATACTCTTGTACTATACTTTGAGTGGAATTAAAAACTCCATTTTTTTTAATACAAGACGCATGTACCGCTTAAATTACCATCAATATACTCGCGAAGTATAAACCAGTCTTTTAATTTTATCTTCCCTTTTTGGTTTCGTAGTTCAGCATTAATTGGAGGTGAAGTTCAGTCATGGTCAATTCGTTTATTTTGTGTATACATTGATTCTCTTAAGAAATCACTTTAAAAAGCCCTGGTTTGACTCCAGAATGACAATTGTGTTTGGTCGTAGATTTCATTAGTTGCTATATTCGGGAATGGAAAGTTTTTACACAGTCCATAGCCGTTATTGATTCTTTATTCGGATTCTGTTGCGCTCCCAGTCTTGTGTAAAAAGTGTCGTAAGTAAATGTATCTTTTTTTATCTAAACGACTTTTAGCCTTCATATTTCTTTTAGTACTTATCTATTTTCACTCTTCTAAATCGAAAGGACAGTTTTTCGTTTTTTTCTACCTTTTTAACCCATCAAAAAGTTATAAGTGTGGCTTTGTTACTAGTCACATATTTGTCATTTGGGTATGGATAATTATATCTATGGATTAGAGTTAACTATTCCCCCTTTCCTGTTATTGGGTACAGCCTTTTTTTATAATAAATACGTTTTTTTGGAATAAATTTTCAGATAAGTTTTGTCTTTTAGATTTAGCCAAACCACAGCGCCAATCGCCCCGGTTTTAAAGGATTTCAGGTACCTATGTTAAGCAATTTGTCAGAAGTTTCTTAGGCGTAGAAAAGTACTTTCCACAGTTATCTAAAGGAAGTTTTGAAAAGTTGTAGTCGTTTTGGTATTATTAAGTGAAAAGCTAAAAATATCAACACATATTTCGCGTTAATATTTTTTTATTATGGTACTTACCATATGCATATAAGAAAATCTAGTTTTTTCTTGGTTTCTCCTTCAGTTGTAACAGTTTTACTGCCCTTTGTTATATCACGTAAATTTAATCTAAGCTTTTTAGCTGCATTATTCATTCTTTCAAAAAACCAAGTTTTACATTGCAATAATTATTCTTAGCCATTTTGGGGGTTAAATCGATACAAAACTATAATAGTCACTCATCAGTGTAATTTTTTAAACGAATATACTATTATTATATCACTCAACAAACTGTTTCTGGTTGTAGTAATTAAAGAACTGGTCAATAAACAAAAAAGGTGAGTTTTTGTATAATCACTTATGTAGGTTCAACCATCCGCATCGACATTCATCTTTTTATCCCTTAATTGATGTAATCTTTTCCCCCAAATTATCAATATTTCCAACATAATTAATTTGAAACCCTCTTCGGTTCTTCAAATTATTTCTAAACCAAAGCAATATATATGTTGTTTTGATGATACAAAAATTCCATTTTATGAAACATAGACCCTTATCTTCTTCCCTGGACTCTTCAATAGTAGTATGAAAAAATGATCTTAGCATTGTTTGGGTAAACATATGCAAATAAAATTAGTTTTGCTGCCTAGCATATTACATTTTTTATATGTGATATTGTAAACTAAAATTCCACAATAGTATTGTAGAGTATTGTAAATATTTTATGTTATAACATGATGTCCCAAGCAATTGGGATTTTTGTAGTTTCATAAGTTTTTAGTTGTAAGAAAATACATTTTTTATGAAACACGAAGAAATTTTGACAACATTTAGCTCTTTTTATTTATTTTCCTTACTAATTTCTTTCCACATTATCATTTAAAAACAGTAAATTGCAATACAGGTATGAGACATAGGTAATTATTGCAAGTATGTGAGGAATTCTACAAAAATTGACACCTTAACTAGAGCCAAATATGGTGATATTGCAATTTGCTGCCCGTACCCCGCAGTAACAATTTTTGTCTGTAGCTGATACCAAAAAACAGGTGCGAGCCTCAAAAAAAGGCAAATTTAAGTTTTTTTCAACAAAAAACTGATTTGTTCGCTAAAGTTATTTCATTCTTCTAGCGATCTGCCTCGAAAAACGAATACTTGAAGCACACATACATATCAGGTACCAATCGCTTTGTTTTGGTCTCCAGAAGGAACTCTGACCCTTTGACGAGCAAAGAAACAACTGCTCAAAGCGTGGCAAGCGGTTGGTTATTCAGTCACTAAAATCGACGTTTTTTTTTTTCATTTTTTTCGCGATTTTACCCGAAAATAGATTAAAAGGTACCTCTATAGTTGAAGCACACATACATGTTAGGTATCAATCGCTTCGTATTGGTCCTCAAAATGAACTCTGACCCTTTGAAGAACCAAAAAAAAAGCTCAAAGCGTGGCAAACGGTTATTCAGTCCCTAAAATCGACGTTTTTTTTTCATTTTTTCGCAATTTTATCCGAAAATAGATTAAAAGATACCTCTATAGTTGAAGCACACATACATATTAGGTACCAATCGCTTCGTCTTGATCCCCAGAATGAATTCTGACCCTTTGAAGAGCCAAAAAAAAACACCTGCTCAAAACGTGGACAGCGGTTATTCAGTCACTAAAATCGACGGTTTTTTTCATTTTTTCGCGATTTTACCCGAAAATAGATTTAAAGATACCTCTATAGTTGGAGCACACATACATATTAGGTACCAGTCGCTTCGACTTGATCCCCAGAATGAATTCTGACCCTTTGAAGAACCAAGAAACACCTGCTCAAAGCGTGGGAAATGGTTATTCAGTCCCTAAAATCGACGTGTTTTCATTTTTTCGCGATTTTATCTGAAAATAGATTAAAAGATGCCTCTATAGTTGGAGCACACATACATATTATTTACCAATCGCTTGATCCCCAGAATTTTTTGTTCTTTTTTTTATAACAAATTTTTTGTTTTGTTAGTATAAGTATTAGAACGAGATAAAAGTTAGTCAAGTAAAAAAAAAAATAAATACATAGAATACAATACATCAAAAATATTCTAAATTTTTTATTATTGATATATACTATTTAACAATGGTATAAATATATTTATTTTTCATTAATTAAACACTATAAAAAAGAACTTGGCATATAATATTAAGTAATCTTGTGTTTAACAGAAACAATATATATTAAAGCTCGAATAATATGAAATAAACAAAATTTTAATACTGTTTTTGATTTAAAAAGAAAAAATTATACCAAATATATCATATTATATTATTTTTTACATTAGATTTCAATCATTTTTTTCTGATTTTCACCGATATTGTACATTATTTTATTTCTAAATTTAGTTAGTTCTGGCGATTCTATTTTACATAAAACTTGAGTTGATAAAACGTTTTGTGTATGCTCTGGTCGATTCAAAAAACAAAAGCCAATTTTTGTAGTTGAGAGAAATTTTGTTACAAGATGTTCGTTGTTTACGTCTTCAACTACCCATGCGTACCATATCATAAATTACTACGATCCAATCGCCTTTGGAAAACTCAGTTGTCGAATGAAAGTCATTTTAACTTGATTTTCCGCTAAAATAGCGAAAAACTGAAAAAAATACGTCGATTTTAGGGACTGAATAACCGCTTTGAGCAGGTGTTTCTTGGCTCTTCAAAGCGTCAGAATTCATTCTGGGATCAAGACGAAGCGATTGGTACCTAATATATATGTGTGCTCCAACTATAGAACTATCTTTTAATCTATTTTCGGATAAAATTGCGAAAAAATGAAAAAAACGTCGATTTTAGGGACTGAATAACCATTTGCCACGCTTTGAGCAGGTGTTTTCTTGGCTCTTAAAAGGGTCAGAGTTCCTTCTGGGGACCAAGACGAAGCTATTGGTACCTGATATGTACGTGTGCTCCAAGTATAGAAGTCTCTTTCACTCGTCTTTCGAGCAGATCGCTAGAAGAAAGAAATAGCTTTAGCGAACAAATCAGTTTTTTTTGGAAAAAACTTAAATTTGCCTTTTTTTGAGGCTCGCACCTGAAAACATGTTTTTGGTATCAACCTACAGAAAAAAATTGATACTGCGGGGTACGAGCAACAAATTGCAATATCATCATATTTGGCTCCAGTTAAGGTGCAAATTTTTGTAGAATTCCTCATGTATATTTTGAGACGGTGTTTTATCCGTATGATACTGAAGTACAGAATCGTGGACACTGAAGAAGAATGACGTAAAAAGATTCACGTGGTTATATCATAGAATATTGAAGTCTTTATGGAAGCAGGGATCACAAATATCGAAATACTCATAATAATAAGTAAATATTTTCCCAACTATTAAAATTAGAAACAAAAAGATATGTTTATGGCCTCTAGTAGTTTAGAGGTAGTAGCGAGATAATGTCTGCTTTTTGCTCTCTAAAAATATTGACTGGTTGATTAGTTATAATAGTTGACCCCCTCTTCTGTTGAAATCAGTAGTCTTAAATGGTCTTCTCTATTAAGGCTGTATTTGAATTGAACGATTGCCAAGTCTTTCGTATATCGAGGCCATTTTTCGTGCAGCCATCGGAATTGACAACCATCAGTGTCTTTATTTCTTAGTACCATGCAACCTTTAGGTAAAGATAAGAAATCAAAGAAGTATGTTTGTGACATTTCCATAACAGTGAATTTGGAGCTGTTTGAAAGTACAGGTTGCATCCAGGCATGAGGGTGAAATATTTGAATGCCAGTTTCCTTATTTTATTTTTATCAATTATACTGTGATCAGTATCTACTTCCAAGTGATTGTGACCTAGTACCATAAATTTATGATGTATTAGCTTAATATTAGATAAGGATCTATGCAAGGTCCACGTAATCATGGCAGATACATGAGAGTTGCGGTTTTGTCCCCCACATGTGTCTGAGTAATCCATGTGTCTGTCTCGAGTGGTACGATTGTTTGCAGGTGTTTGTACAGACAAAATGCTATCTGATTGCCCCTCTACCTGCAACAGATTCATACCACGTGTAACTAACAGCTTCCCCTGTACTGTTATCATCTTCTTAAAGTGCCTATCTGTTTCGGACGTTGGCGATCATCACGGCTATCTTTACTTTGTTTACTGCAGCGCGGAACAGTTCAGTGGTAGTCGTGTTATACCACTTTCGTCAATTTTGAAGCCAGGAAATGCGTCTTCTTCCCGGTCCTCTCTTACCATTTACCTTCCCTTGGAGAATCAGCTGGAGAAGAACGTTCTTGATTTCTCATTACGTGTCCTAGATATTCCAACTTTTTAGTTTTGAGGGTCATGAGAATTTCACATTCTTTCCCCATTCTACGCAGGACCTTCTCATTAGTAACTGTGATCATAAACCGTCAAATTAAACGTCCACAGCTGTATCTTATAAATTGCAACAGATGATTTTAAATCTGGTGTTGTTAAGCACTGTTGTAGTTCGAAAGTGTATGTCCTTACATGCGGAACAGTTTTGGCAGTTTTTGTATCTTTCCTTTTTTCATCATACGCTTGATCAGCTTTCATTTGGTGGGATTTGTGGTCTGAAGAGTTTTTATTTCTGGTCATCTGTACAAATTTTTAATTGCATAATAAATTTATCGCAGATAAAACATGTATCAAGGTCTTCTTCATTCTTCGAAGTGTGCTTTCGTACAGTGGAAATGAAAATATATGATTTTTTTATATCTATTCGTTTTTGGTGTAGCCATTCCTCTTTTATCTTCTGCATCAGTACCTGCGATCGTAGATTGTATCTTATTGGCGATAGTTAAAATAAAGTTTTTGCGTTCATCAAAAACGTTACGAAGACAACCACGACAGATAGGATCCTTATTTCCGTTTATAAAATGAGAATAAACCAAAGTTTTTGACCTGCACTTATCCTTATTTCATTGTTCTTGGTCAATGTGAAGGAGTTTTTTTCACTTAAATAAGAGATGCCATTATGTTGCTCTCTTTGAGTGCGAACTTAAACCCCAATATTCATCAGAACACTTTTTTAACTCGTTTGCATTAAAGCGATCTTTACATTTCACTCGACATGCGCTTAACACTTTGGCTTCGCGTGAACGTATTGGTTCTCCTTGTAACGTAAGATAAGCTTTTCCTAAATTTCGTTGTAATTTATTCTCAGCCTTGCTTTTCCCTGTCCTTTGGTTTTCCTGTGTATTTTTCATTTGCAATGTTTGTAGTGGATAAGAAACGTGAGAAACACATTCTCTCACCAAAATAGGTATACACCGATCTAAAACAGATAAAAGGACTTGGTTGGAAGTTCATCTCTAAAATGGATAAAACTCTAAACATTTGACTTGTCTTTTTTATTCCAGCCGTTTTTAGGTGATTTTAATAAATACAAAAAATTTCTCAAAAATGAACTTGTTTGCTTATGTCCGCCGACCACACATACAGATTGAACCAAATTAAAACGGAACATACAATTTAATACATGTCTGTTTGAACTGCATTTGAAATAGTGGACCAATATAAAACTTGGACAAAAATAAATCCATACCTGGGTATAGACATTCTATAAAATATCGTTCAACTATCTGTCTCGTAACAATGTTGTTTGCGTAAGACGGGTTTGTCTAAGGAAGCGATAATAGTTCAGGAAATGAAGCTCGAAAAAAGTTAAAACCTCGCAATTTTTTCGTCCTGCATGTATCCAGTTGAAATTTTAACAGAAGGTAGGTGATAGCCCAAGGATCAAAATCTATATCGAAACGAAGTGCGCTGAAGGGTTTTAGGGGTGAAAACTACCCCTAATTGTCAAAAATTATAAAATAACATATT